AACAGCTGGACACGGCAGTGGTTGTGAGGCAGAGCAGGGCCAACAGCTGGACACGGCAGTGGTTGTGAGGCAGAGCAGGGCCAACAGCTGGACACTGCAGTGGTTGTGAGGCAGAGCAGGGCCAACAGCTGGACACAGCAGTGGTTGTGAGGCAGAGCAGGGCCAAGCGGGATTTCGTTGTGTTGTATGAGGGCCTTCTGAGTCAGACCCAGCTTGGTGACAGTAACAACAGAAAGCTCTTGGACTGCCAAACCCCTCATGATGCATAGACAGGCATATTCTCGGGTTACTTTTTAAATTAACGAACAGAATGCAATAATTGAATGTGGACTCCTTCGTCCCGACCCAGACTTCTTTCCCCAAGGTTTATACCAAAAGTAGAAATTCTCAAATTCTCACACCCTGTTTGATGTTTTCAGAGGGTCTCATTTCAACAAGGGGCACCTAGACCATGCAAGGATATTCAAGTTTATCTGTATTTCCCATGACTGGAAATATGTAAAAAGAACCCTGTCGCTTGTTTGTTTCTTCCTCATTTGGGGCTTAGAGAGAAAAGGACAGTTACCGTAGCGCATCACATGGCGTGTTCAGTTGAGTCGCCTATTCTGTCTGGACCAGAAGGCTGGGAGCTACTGCCTTCTGGCTCCGAGAGGCACACCTGCATGTGTTAATCTCTTTCACCTCACAGCGACCCAGCCCATCTGAACATAGAGGTTCCGCGAAGTGAAGCGTGGATTTAGACCCTAGTTTGCATGTATTGAGGAGTCCCCAGGTGGCAAAGCAATTAGGTACTCAAATACTTATCATAGAAGTTAGTGGTTCACATGCACCCAGAGAGGCCTCAGACTGAGGCCTGGCTTCCCCACAGTCCCAACCACCACACACTGTAGGGCACAGTTCTGTGACACACAGGGTCACCATGAGTCGGAATCTACTTGTTGGCAAGTTTTCGGTTTTCTGGATCTTGGAGCCAAGTTCATCCTTGTTCTGGGGGGACCTCCTGGACTGAGTGACAGCTCTGAGGAACTGAAGAACGAGTCAACCGAGCAAGCCGCATCATGTGAGTGCTAAACAGATGCGTTTCAGAGGTGTGGAACCGCCTCTTTTACCAAGACAACTAAACCAGGTCTCCCCATCCATTTTGGACAACACAATGGTATTCAACGCTTGCAATAAGACACCAGCATTTTCTGTATTTTAATTATATGTGGTGTTATTTTTCTGCAGTAGTTTTTCATTAATTTCTCTGACCACAGAGATCTAACTCCATTTGTGCTCTCTTTTTTTTTTTAAGAGAGAAACATTGAGTAATACAATTTGATATTTGCTCTCTCACTTGAGTGTGTGTGTCCACGTGTATATCGTACTTCCTGGTGATTTACGAGAACTCACTAATGAGAAACAGATGTCCCCAAAGCCACAAACTGGAGTTTATAATACGATACTTTGTTGCTTGTGGGGGGAATATGAACAGCCTCCTTTTTCCTCCTTCCCTCGTAGGGAGAAGAAATTTTCCTGGACATGTTTGAAGACGAGTACAGGAGTATGACGGTAAGCACCAGCCTGAGCGCCCAGCCTGCGTGTGTTGGCTGCCACTCAGCCTGCCAGCAGCACACACTGCTGCCCCTGCTGCTCCACCACAGCCAGGCCTGCAGATGGATCCAGCCTCCCAGCACAGGCTGCACCCTCATCTGGATCAGACTCATTTTGATAGGAATTGTGATTTTACAGAGTTCTTTTCCCTATTTTTTGGCAATTATTTTAGGTTTGAGTTCCCCACCCCCACCCCCTTCTCTGAACCAGTTGAGGATAAACTTCAGACACTGTGTCTCTTCACCCCTAAATACAGTGCCAAGCTCCACTGAAGACTACGGACATCCCCTAACATAGCCTCAGGACAGTTGGCCACATTAAGGAAGTGTCTTTGACACAACAAGGAGCCCCGATGGTGCACTGGGTTAATTGTTGGGCTGCTAACCACAGAGTCAGTGGTTCAAACCCACCAGCCACTCCTCAAGAGAAAGAGGAGGCTGGCAGCTCCCATAAAGATGGCAGCCTTGGACACCTGATGGGGCAGTTCAGCTCTGTCCTGTAGGGTCGCTGTGAGTCATCAGTGGGTTTGGTTTTGTGATTTATTGACTCAACACCAGAGGCAGAAGAAGACCCTCTGTTGGTGTTGTGGCTTTCAGCAAGAGCATACATTAGAGCATTCCAGGGGAACAGGGGGGTGTAACATGTGGTGAAGAAAGCCGATGAAGCCCGGCTATCAAAAGATATAGCATCTGGGGTCTTAAAGACTTGAAGGTTAACAAGCGGCCATCTAGCTCAGAAGCAACAAAGCCCACATGGAAGAAGCACACCAGCCTGTGTGATCATGAGGTGCTGAAGGGATCGGTTATCAGGCATCAAAGAACAAAAAATCATATCATTGTGAATGAGGGGGAGTGGGGACCCAAAGCCCATCTGTAGACAACTGGACATCCCCTTACGGAAGGGTCGCAGGAAAGAGACTAGCCAGTCAGGGCAGTATAGCAATGGTGAAACATACAATTTTCTTCTAGTTTAAAGTGACCAGATTTTAACATTGGTAAAACGGGACACCATTGATAAAACTCAGATCCTGGCGAAATAGCCACATGGCAGCTGAAAACCATATACCCTAGCTTGTTGTGCATTCTTTCCAAAAAGAGAGTTTGTGTTGCTCAGACACGAAAATGACCTCTATAGGAAGCACGTCTGTTGACTGCAAAGGTGGTATGGGTGTGAGCAGCACACACAGTGATGCAGGCCAGAGTCCCAGGAAGTGGGAGATGATGCCATGCCTGCACTTCGTGGTCTGCTGGCCATTGTACTTGCCCTTCCTGGCGCTTCGTGCGCCCACTGATAGGGGACCATGCCAGGACCCTCTGTCCCCAGGGCAGGTGCCTGGCAGTGCCCGTGGCAGATGCTCACGCTTGTCATAACAGATGGTAACTCCTGGCTGGGAACAGGGCAGAGACAGAGGGGCATGATAGTCACAGGAAACAGCACAGGGCCCAGGGCCTGGATCGAGCCCCCACTTCTCCAGGCCTCAGCTTTCTCAGCCCCACCCGGGAGTAACACCCTTAGGGAGTTGCAGGCCTTCAGCTCTCAACCGTACTTTGTGTGCACTCTTAAAGAAGGGAGAGGGGGATGTTGTCATCGTATCACCGCACCCACTGAAGGGGAGCTGCCCCACAGGACCAGGCCCCTTGGCCAGCCCCTTTCCATCCCGGCCTGCAAGCAGGGAGGTGAGAGGGGAGACAGTGTCCAGGCTGTTGCTTCAGCTGGAGCAGAAATCTGCAGCGTAGAGGGAACAAAATGACGCCTGGCTCAGAGACAGGGCTAATCCCCTGCCTGCCCCAGCCTGGCCCCTGTGAGCAGCTATCCTGAGCTCTACCGTGCCGTGTTCCTGTTTTCCAGATGAAGCCCATGAACGTGGAGTACCTTATGATGGACGCTTCCATCCTGCTGCCCCCGACGGGCACGCCGCTGACGGGCATCGATTTTGTCAAGCGCCTGCCATGCGGCGACGTGGAGAAGACCCGGCGGGTGAGTGGGATGCGAAGCCCTGCCCCCTCCCAGGGCAGGAGGAAAGGGTCCCTGACCTGGTCTGGACGGTAGGTGGCAGCCACCCCCAGGCTTCCCCAAAACAAGGACTGAACTTCTCTTTCCTTTGGCCCTGGCATCAGTGCAGGCACCCACCCCAAGCTCTAAGAAGACCCAGTTGTGTAGACTGTGGGCACCGAGCCCAAGGAGCCCTGGAAAAGGAGCTCGGTGTTCAGTCTCAACCAGACATGCCTGTCCCCACATGCTGTCAGGGCTCCTGACCTCGGTCCTGGGGACGCCCCAGGAGCGGGCGAGCTGAGGTGCCCCCTGAGGAAACATGTGCAGACTGCAGCAGTTCTTGACGCCCTGGCGGAGCCTGTGCTCCTGTGACCAGCAGTTGAGTCTCCTTTTAAAACAGCTGCGCCTGGCAGCACTGCTCTTAGTCTCGTTGCCCAGTAAGGGCAGACTTCCTTTCTGGAGAAAACATTAGTCTCTTGTTTCCCTGTAAGGGCAGACTTCCTTTCTGGAGAAAACATTAGTCTCTTGTTGCCCTGTAAGGGCAGACTTCCTTTCTGGAGAAAGCCCCTAGGAGCACCTCCTGACAACTGACTGTTAGTGAACAACAAGGGGGACTTTGGTGCCCTCAGCTGTCAGCAGTCTGTGTCCACCATGTTAGTCCCCATGCCACCAGGGCTTTGAATAGCAGGAGTGACACTTTGCAGCCACCTCGGATGAGGATTCGGAGGCCTTTCTCCCTTCCCCTGACCAGTGACACCACCTCAGAGGCCTGAGACCAAAGGTTGTCAGATCCACATCACCTGCTGTCTGAGCAAGCCTGCCAAGCTCACCCAGGACCTGGCCTGTCCGAGGACCAGCCGGGCACCAGTATCTGTTGTGGATGACAATGTCTGCTCCAGATGTCCTTGGCATTGGCACCCACAGAGGACAGCTGGCAGCTGTGTATCAGCCTATCAGCTCCTCGATGGGGCCCGTCCTGAGCCTCTGGCTGGTCCTGGGGAGCTCCGGTGAGGGTTCTCCTCAGCTCTGGAAAAGCCCTCACTGTGAGGCTGCAGCGTCTCTGGACCAGACAGGGCCTGGCAGGCCTCGTCCCTGCACTCTGTCTTCTCCGTTCATGACTCATTGGGTTTCTTAACAAGTACATAGGCTGTATCCTCATGACAAAGTGGGTCCTTCTGTACGTCGGTTTCCTGTTTAATCTTCATAAACACATAGAAGGTAGGCACTGCTACTGTCCCATCTTACACAGGAAGAAACTGAGGCCCAGGGAGGCCAAATGAGTTACACCAAGCAAGTTACTTAAGATCACCCAGCTAGTAAGGGCCGAGCCGGGGTTCTTCCCAGCTAGTGTGGCCTCCAGAGCCTAAGCTCTTAGTCTCTCAAGCCTGCTGCTTCCCACTGCTACCTTCCTGGGACAGGCCTCCTCAGGGCTCGGCAGCAGGATATGGTTACCCGTAGGCTGGAAGTTAGGTGGGGACGAAGGCAGGTGATGCAAGAGGGCAGGACCTTACCAAAGGAACATGGTGTCAGGTCCCTAACCGTACCTGGGCAGGCTCCAGAGGGGATGGTTCCCCAGGTGGAAGATGGGTGTGCTAGGTGGCCAGGTGAGGCAAGGGCCCAGAGAGGCCCTGTGAGCACTGTGGAGCTGAGTGAGCAGTGGTGAGGTCAGAGAGCTGACAGTGCCAAGCCCACCAAAGGCCATGGCTGTGAACCATGTGGTCTACTTAATGACATCATGCCCTGCTTGGGGGTGAGGGTGGGACAGGTAGTCCTGACCAACAGCAGAGAAATAGAGCAACCACGGCAGAACCTGTCAGGCCCGCGCACAGCAGAGTGCCTGCCCTGTGGGACAGCAGCCCACCTCCCACACCACGAGTGGGATGCTCAGCCCATAGTGCTGATGGAAGCAGAGACCAAGCTCCCAGGAATGCCAGGGCGGGCTCTTGTCTGCCTCACAATCTCACCAAGCAAGTCTTAAATTGCAGGAGCAAAGCAGAAGCATGATGGCAGAAAAATCGAGTAGGCAGCCTCCAAGCGGAGCACTCCACCTTAAAAACGCTGGCTTTTCTGACTCCGTTTCTGCAGTGTTTCCACTGCTTACCTCACTCCAGTACCTTGGCCAGCAGGAATCACTCTGCAGCCCATTCAGCAGTGAGCACAGCAGGGTGCTTTGACTCCAAGCCAAGGGCAGTACCCAGTTCGCAAGTGCCCGGGGCCTGGTGTGCATCCTCTGAAGTGTCCAGAGAACATTCCATGTCATGCTTTTGGAATCAGGTGCTTGCTTTTTGCTTTGGGGTTGTTTTCCACCCATCTACTGCCCACCCAGTAGAGTTAACTTTTAGGAGGCTTTAACCCCCTCCCCAAACACACACACTTGAGATTCCTTTAGGACTTCTCCAAAAAGCTCAAACATCCTTCATAGTGAGTCGTTACTGGCTTCTAGAATAGTCACTCAGGCAGCCGTTAGTGAGTGCTGGATTCCTGTGACATGCCAGACACTGCTATGCCTGTGGGTAGGGAGTGAACCGGGTGAAGAACCCCTGCCTTCTGCACCTACCACCACACCGGAGAGGCTGATAAAAGAGCAAGCTTGTTGGCAGACTGCAGAAAACGGTATAAAGGAAAGAAGTGGCCGGGAACGAGGATGTGGTGTTGCTTTACAAAGAGCCATATCTTACCCATCACCAATCCATGGTGACCCCACTGTGTTCCAGAGTGGTCTGATTGCCAGGCATCTCTACCACGGCTCCTGGGGTGCTTTGAACCACCAACCTTCAGGGGAAGAGCTGGTGGTGCGATCCGCCCAGTCAGCAGTTAGAAATCACCTGCAGCTCCGCAGGAGAAAGACAGGACTTTGTACTCCCAGAAACAGTTAGTGTCAGAAACCCACGGTGAGTTGTTGTGAGTCAGCATTGACTCGATGGCAGTGAGTTTGGTTTGGTTTGGAGCTGAGGGCAAACTATTGGCACCACCCATGACCTGCACTGTAGATTGCATGGCCAGGCAAAACAGGTGTGTGGAGTGACTTTCACACTGAAACTTGAAGAGTGTGAAGGAGCTGAACTCCAGACCGAGGAAAGCACAGAGGCTGAGGTGATAAGTGCCCAGCCAGCAGCAGGATGCCCAGAGTGGAGTGAGGAGGGAGAGGAGACACGACGGAAGGCTAGAGAGGAGGGTGGTCCAGCACTGCAAGCAAGAGAGAGGCACCTGAATAAAGGCGTGCTTTCTCGCTTGTACACATTTTGGTAAATCACGCCATTCACTGTTTCACCTGGACCAGGAAACAACCTGGTGTTCAATGGAGCCAAGGTTGGCGTTGGCTAGGACTGCGTCTTCCTGCGATTCTCCATCAGAGCCCATGAAGACGCCCTGCTTGGCAAAGTAGAAGGTGAGCACAAAGGAGGAAGACGTCCACGAACCGATGGACACAGTGGCTACATGGGGCTCACACACAGCAGCAAGGGCGAGGACGGCTTGGGACCAGGCCCCGTGTGGTTCCGTTGTACAAGGGTGGCCATAAGGTGGAGCTGTCTGAGCAGCACAGCGGGGACATATTGTTGAGCGTTTCCTAGGTGCCGGCATAGAAACACCAGGTACGACCAAAATAGCAAGAATGGCCTCAGCACCCCGAGCAGAGAAGGGAGTTCACTTTGACGTGAAGGTCTCTGGAGTTCAGGCTTGTGCGGGACCCTCCCATGTGTCGGGGCAGTTGGAAAAGCTATGAAAAAGAACACTCGCTGGTGAGCCAGACCACCCACCAGTTAAGTCCCAACTAGGGCTGTGTGACCTTGAGCAAGTCACTCTACCTCCCCAGCCTCAGGCTCCCTGTGTGTCTGACCTCACGGCTCTGGTGCAGCCTGACAGACTGGCTGTGCAGTGGTGAGCCCTGTGCCTGGCAGAGCCTGAGCACTCGGGAATACTGGCCACCAGCGCAGATCATTCTAGCATCTTAATGAGAGAGGAACCGGCTATTCAATGAACTGAATCCACCCAAGCTCCATGACTGACATCCTGAACCAGACACTTCTATCATGTGATCTTGGGCACCGTTATGCAATCAATGTATCTGCCCGAGGTTTTATTTGTCCCTGCATTCTGTTTCCCGGTTCCCTTGTAAAATTGTTGTTAGCTTTTTAGTTTATCGCTATTGACCTGGAGGAAATAAGATGTTTTGCCTACTTGTTAGATGTGTATTATGCCTCAGAGACAATAAAATGGTGTCTCCTAATATTTTGAAAGTAGAGGGGAAAAAGATTCCCGGTTATCTCGTCACTGTAAATGGAGAGCGAGGCATTTTTGTACTTTCATATGTCACGTACTTTGGACAGGAGACACCAGTCCCTGGAGAAAGCCATCATGTTAGGTAAAGTAGAGGGACAGCAAAAAAGAAAAAGACCCTTGAAAGTTACACAAGTGGCCACCTAGCAGGGAAGCAACAAAGTCCACATGGAAGCAGCCCACCAGCCTGTGTGATCCTGAGGTGTCGACAGGGATAGGTATCAGAAGTTCAAGAACAAGCAACCAAATTGACGTGAAGGAGTGTGGACAAAACCCACCTGTCACATAATTGGACAGTCCCTGACAGAAGGACCACCTGGACAGGATGACAGATCTAGGGAGCGGTATAGCACTGATTAAACACATAACTATCCTCTAGTTCTTTAATATTTCCTCCCCTTACTATTATGGTCTTTGTTTTACCTCATTACTTTTGTTAGACCTGTGTGTGTTCATTTGTACAATTAAGAGCATTCTATGCATGAAAACCAAGATAGATAGCCGTTCAGAAACTAACAGTTTTGAAAATAATGATGGCAACATATGTACAAATATGCTTGATAAAATTGATGTATGGATTGTTAGAAGAGTCATAAGAGCCCCCAATAAAATGATCTTTTAAAAAAGAAACAGTAACAGTAACGGGAGTAATGATTCCCTGAGGGTACGGGAAGAGGGGGTGGGGGAGGGGGAGGGGAAGCTGATAACAATGGTGACTGTATAACCCCACTGGAAGGGAACAAATAACAGAACTGTAGATAATCCGATACATTGGATGGTGTAAGACAGCAGTTCTGACTGTGGGTCATGACCCCTTTGGGGATCAAATGACCCTTTCATAGGGGTCGCCCAATTCATAACAGTAGCAAAATTACAGTAATGAAGTAGAAGCGAAAATAATTTTTTGGTTGGGGGTCACCACAACATGAGGAACGGTATGAAAGGGTCACGGCAGGGTTCCTCAAACTTTTTAAACGGGCTAATTTACTGTCCCTCGGACCTGTTGGAGGACCGGGCTGTAGTTTAAAAAAAAACTGAACAAATTCCTATTCACACTGCACATATCTTATTTTGAAGTAAAAAAACAAACGGGGCAAAAACATCCGGCGGGCTGGATAAATGTCCTCCACAGCGCATGTGGTCCGCGGGCCATAGTTTGAGGACCCCTGGGTCACGGCATTAGGAAGGTTGAGAACCACTGGTGTAAGATATGGCAAATGATGATAATAATATATAATATAATATGATAATAAGGGTTCCTGGGGGGCAGGGTGGGGGGGTGAGGGGATAAACAATTATGAGGGTGACACAGGACCAGGCGGCGGCGTTCTGTTCCTTTGTATATCGGGTCACTGAGCGTCACAGCAGACTGACCTGCACCTAACTAGCACCTTCCAGTCTCTGTTTGCAAACTCGCCAGGGGTGTCTCCTGGTCACGCCCTCCTCTCACTCCCACCTGCATGGGAGTGCACACTACCATGTGCGCTGGTACTTTTTTAATGACTCGGATTCTCTTCACTGTGACCGCGGCTGTCATTTACGTAACCGCTTCCCTGGCCGGGGACATTTCGGTTGCCTCCTGAATTACGTTATTTTTGAACTGCAACAAAGAGTTTTGTGAATACAGTGCTTTCTTTCTTTTGGGTTATTTCTTTAGGATAAGTTCCCAGAAGCGGAATTTCTGGTTCAAAGGGTATGGATGTGTGTGTGTGTGTGTGTGTGTGTGGTGTGTGTGTGTGTCTACATGTCTCCAAATTGCTTTCCTGGTGGGTTGTGGCCTTATTTAATTGCTTCAGCACTCTTTTAAGAACGTGGAATTTCTGGTTCAAAGGGTATGGACATGTGTGTGTGTGTGTGTCTGCATGTCTCCAAATTGCTTTCCTGGTGGGTTGTGGCCTTTTTAAATTGCTTCAGCACCCTTTTAAGAACGCCTGACTTTTACAGGCTTGGTGGGCATCTAACCTGAGTGGCAGTCCCCCAGATTAAGCAGTTCACTAATGCAGCAGGGGGAGCAGGGGTGCAGGTGTGAACAGAGCCCGTGTCCCTGGCCTGCCCAGGGCTCTGTGCTGTCCCTCATCATCTCGTTGCACCACCTCTATGGTGGCCCTGTGAGCAGGAGGCCTGAGGCGGGAATTTGTGTAACTTGCGTTGGTCTCAGGTTGAGGCAAGGTCTGCCTGAGTCCAGATCTGTCCTCCTGCCAGCCTCACTGGACCATTTCCCGGGAGCGCTCCTTGCCAGAATTTGCTCACCAATGCCTGGATGCAAAGAAATGGGAAGAATGATGCTCCTCTTCTGTTTGAGCGTGGCACCGTCACCCCTTCCACCACCCAGTCAGCTCAGCCTTCCAGGGTCAGTCTGCTGGCATGCTCTGGGAGTACCTGGAAGAGTGATCACTTGTTATTTTTTAGTAATACCTTTAAATTGGCATATCCTCGTGGTACAGAAAGCTTCCTTCATGGAGCAAATGGTTTGCACTCATGTCCCAACCTGAAGGAGGAGTCATGGTGACGAGGGGGAAAGCTCTGCTGAGCTGCTCTCCAGGAGAATCCAGCCTTGGAACCCTGCACAGCAGTTCCCCCCCGCCCTCGAGGGCTGCTGTGGGCCAGAACCCACAAGGTGACCAGCCTTGGAGGCTTATATTGTAATGTGTACGTGCTAGAAATGTCTTCCATTTGTGGCTCACAGAACAAATTTTTATCAAATTCCAAGCCTCCTCTGTCTTTGAAGGCTAGCTTTTCAAAATGAAAAGCTAGTGTGTAGAAGCCTCATAAACACCCATTCCCTCCCCCACCCCTTGCCCCAGACTGTGGCCTGCTTGGTTTCTTTGCCTTCAAAACCCCATGAGGAATGGTTTGGACAGAAGTAAGACTTCGTTTGACTGGACCTGATGGGGGATGGGTTGCTTTCTCTCCTTCCGTCATCCTGAGGCCACGCCTTCTCGTCAGAGAATTCTGGCTGTAAAACATGTCCAGTCTACCCACATCCCCACCTTGGGCGTTCTGAAGCCCCATGGGCCATCCTGGCTGTTTGAGCTTCCTTATGCTCCTGGTTAGTGGCAGGCCAAGGCCCAGGCCCCACCCAGCTCTGTGGCTTTGAAATAGAAGCTGCCTTTTTCTCAGGATCGTCGCAGGTGTCTTTATGAGGCCTCTGCTGTGGCCAATGGGTAAGGATGGCCAGAGACTAGGACCACCAGTACCACTGTCTTCCAAAAGCTGCCCTTCTCCTGGGTCTCAGCCCACAGGTGAAGCTGCTGCTCCAGTGCCACAGGAGGCCATGAACGCCCAGGTCTGCCCTGGTCCTGCCAGGGACTTTCTTCCTGTTCAGGGAGCACCCTTGCTGTGGAAACCCAGCCTGGGCTGTACCTTTGGGCCTACACACAGGCCCCAAAGTGTCCCCTGCCTTCCCCAGTGCCGTGGCAGTGAAATGACCGCATCCAGGTTGGCCTTCTCTTCTGTGCCCTGTGCCGCCCCGAACCTGGCAGCATCCCTGCAGGGCCCAGGCAACCAGTCCATTTCACAGATGAGGAAAGGGAGCCTGTGGAGGGCAGCTGTCTGTCTAGTGCCAGGTCATTCCCTTCAGCTCGACACCGCAGCCTGGCCCCAGGGGAAGGCCTGAGGTGACTGTTTCTGCTGACTGCCCCTCTGGTGGCTGGGCCAGGCAGCCCCAGCCAGGACTCAGGAGGGTGCCCTTGAGGCAAGGCTGCACCCACAAGTGCAGGCTGCTTCTGCTCAATCTGCTGGCTTCCAGGGTCTGGCTGCTGCTGTTGTCCGCTCTCTGGAGATGCCTGGTGGTGGTTACTGCGGGTTCCCAGCAGACACCTCTCTTGTGCCTGGGAGCCCTGTGCCAGAGGGGGACTGTCTTCCTCCACAAAGCAGGCTGAGAAGCCTGGGAACCAGCCTGTCAGCACGGCCCAGGGAGGGGACATAACCCTGGGAGGGCCTTGCTGGCTCCAAAGCCCACAAGCACCTCACACGTTCTATAGCACCCCCCCCACACACACACACACACAAATACAGTAGGTGGGACGGTGGTGAGGCACTTTTGCTGGTGGCTGAGATTTCCAAGTTCCATGCTGGGTTAGTTGGAAAAGGCTTGGCTTCTGTCCTCACAAGAAGGACTTAACCTGCTTCAGTGAGACGTGGGGGCAAGGCCACCAGGACAATGGTGTTAGGAAGGTCACACGGCGTCTGACAGGCGACAGTTTCTTCGCTGGGGCAGGGTGAGCCCATGCTGCTGCCCTCTGAGGGTGGACCTGGCTCTGCTGGGCGCGGTGCACTCTGGGGTTGCTGCTTCCCCTCTCGCATAGAAAGCAGCTGTGATTGCTGCCGGGGGCTCCGTCGTTGACTCTTCTCCTGTCTGCACCCCCATCCAGGCCATCCGGGTGTTCTTCATGCTCCGCTCCCTGTCACTGCAGCTGCGTGGGGAGCCCGAGACCCAGCTGCCGCTCACCAGAGAGGAGGACCTGATCAAAACGGATGACGTCCTGGATCTGAGTGAGTCAACCGTCCTGCAACACCTACCCTCCCACTCAGTCACATGCAACCTGCTTTGGTTCTGGGGCTCATGACCAGTGACTGTCAATGGGGACATTGGAGAAGTCCAGGGGTCTGCCAGGGGCTCTGCTCCCTGCAGACCAGGGGAGACGTGCTGGTGGGCTGCCCAGAGGTGGAATCACTGGGGGCACGAGGATCCCAGCCCCCCATGCATGATCTCTGTGGGTTTGGTGTGTTTGGGGTTTCTCCGTGCTTCCATTATTCAGCAATCAAAGGAGAACTCACAAAGCAAAGGGTTCAGGTACAGGCCAGGATACTGGAGGTGGGAGCCTGCGACCTGGGGCTGCTTATTTAACCCCTCGAGTCATCTGGTTCTCGTCTGTGCCCAAGCGACACCCAGCTCTGGGCACAGTCTGCACTCGTGAGCAAGCTGATGCTCTGTGGACCTCCAAGGGCCCATAGCGAATGAGGTTGGGAGAGAGAAAAAGCCTCTCAGGCCACCGTGAGACAAAGAAAGGGAAGCTGTCAGGGATGTCTGGGAGTCGTTCTGCCATCCTTCAGCCTGGCTGGATCTGGGGAAGGAAGGCAGTGTCGTCAGGAACCCGCTGTGCACCATCTCTGCCTCCCTCTGCCCCTGCTTCGTCCTTGAGATGGCTGTCCCCGACGGTGACAAAGTGGCCACTGGCAGCTCTTTCCCTATAACTTATGCCAGAACCCAGGACAGGGCTGTCATCGGACTGACCGGACACATGGCCATCCCTGAGCCCAGAAGTGTTCAGAGCCATGGGAGTCCCAATTGGCTAGGCTGGGGTCATGTGTCCAGTCCTGGAGCCAAGAGGTGGGGACAGTTCTTTGTGAAGCACATCACCCAAGAGTGAGGCCGGACGTGGCCCTGGGAGGAAAACCCTAGAGAAGGGGTGCATGCTGGGTAGGAAATGAGGGACCGTTGCTCACTGTCCTATGTAGCCAGAGTACGGTCATCATCATTTTAATCAGCTTTATTATGATATTATTTACATACAGTAAAACTCATCAAGGGTTAACGTACAATTCAGTGACTTGTGACAAAACTTGTGTAACCAGCCATCATAGTGGAGAACGTTGAGGATCAGCTGTGGAGCCAGACATCCCTGCCCTGCTCTGCATGGCCCCAAGCCCCGCGTGCCCCTCCCCCGGCATCCATTCCTTGCCTGTAACATGGAGTACTGCTTCCTGTAGCACACGGCTGTTGTGAGGCTTGCATGACATCCATGACCGAGCAGTAAAACAAAAGCCATCGTGTTGCCTGTGACTCGGAGCAGCCCTGGAGTCAGAACAGACGGTGCCCACACAGTTCCCTGTGCGTGGGTCGAGGCCCCGAGGGGTATCTAGGCAGATTCACCGCCACCTTTTGGTTAACAGCCAGCCATTGGCAGTGAACTGCTGGGGCACCGAAAGCACCCAGTGCCCTCCCGATGCCCACAAGCTTCGCAGAAAGTGACGCTCACCATGGCACCTGGTTATCTAGCCTCCTAGTCTTGCGGTCTTCCTACCTTCCTCCCGCCCCTTTCTTGGAAGAGCAAGCATTGTGTCCCCTCTGTGCCCATTCCCCCCTGAGAGATGACCATGGTGGTTTCCATTTAAATGGCTCCAGTTGACTGCAGGGAGCCATAAACCTGTCTTTCAAGGCAGCCACTCCATCAGGGCATCAAGCAGCTTTGTGTCCGTGAAATGGAATTAAAGTTTTTGCTGGGAATTCACAGCCTTCCCTCCTTCCGCCAGGAACAGCCTGCCGAAATAAAGGTTAAAAGTATTTCACTTATCAATTTTAATTGATTAGATAGCTGGTTGAGATCATTTCACTGAGCCTTTTTGGGTAGCTGACCATTAAGGAAGTAACAGCTGCCTGGCTTTACCCAGCCCGGTTGCAAATCACGCCTTTTGGCTGAAGAGGGTGACAGAGCAGTACCAGCAGTGGGAGGCCCCCCCACATGTTGTGTACTTCTGGCTGCTTGAGACTTTGCGTATCGGGGATGGGTGGGGCTGGTTTGGTTGGTGATTTTTAAGTGCTAGAATTTCTCACTTCTCGTTAGGGGAGAAAATAAGCCTACTTTGCACCTTGCATAGGGCCATCAGAATGGAGAAACATGGCGAGTGGCCCAGGGAAGGTGTGTGTGTCTGCAGTAGGCGAGGTTCTGGACCCACTGTCCCTGAGCAGTGGGGTTTTATCTCCTGCCGGAGCTTGAAATGGACGGGCATACTTTGATGAAATTTGATATGGCTGCGCAGCTGTGAGGAATGCCAACTGCGGGCCCCAAGAAGGAGGTGCCGTTAAGTGTGCTTACTCAGCTTGTCACCCGTAGATAAAGAGCCACAGTGTGCAGCGCGCTCTGCAGAGGCCCCCTGGCTGAGGTGCTGAAAGCAGGTGTGAGTGACGGCAGCAGGTCTCAGGCCCAGGTGTGGCAGGGGAGCCTCAAGAGGGCTGCTTCTGACAAGAGCATCAAAGATCCCATTGCTGTGCCCGCCGGCTTTATTTGTTGGAGGAGAGGAGAGTGGCATGGGTGGAGGTCACGGGCAGGCAGCCTGGCCAGCCCTGTCTGCAGATGACAGACAGGCGGGCAGCTGAGGGAGGGAGGGAGGCGGAGGGCCAGGTGTAGTCGATTGTATATATAGAGTAGCCTCATGAGTGTCCATATACCTAGCCCTTCGCTCCAACACTCAGCTAGTATTCGGAAGAATTTTATTTCATCTGCTCCTCCATCTCTCTTTGTGAAAAAATATTACCACTGCCACCCCCACCCCCCACCACCCGGAGTATTTCATAGCAAGTGGGAGACAGCATTTCACCTATAAACACTCATCTCTAACAGTCAGGACTTCAGGTCACTCTTGCTAATTGAATTAGTTGCCACCATTTGGAAATTGTGAGCTTCTCCAGCCCCAGCTCTGGGCGGGAGCCAGGGGAGGACAGACAGGCCTCTGTGGATGACACACACCCAGGCCCCAAGCAGTTGATCAGCATAGTGAATTTGCTCAGGGTCTTCCAGGGGAGCACAGGGTAAGATGTGGACCAACCTAGGAAGGAGGCAGAGGAGAAGCTAAAAGACTTCATGGCGCATGGCAGGTGCTCAGTGGCTCAGGCCTACCTTCCCTTGGTCTCTGTCATCACTGCCGAGTCTGTGAGAAGTGGCTGAGACTGACTGCTGCCTCCCCGCCTGTGCTTTCTGCTGGAATGACTGTCTGAGGCACGCAGCCGGAAATGCCCAGGGCTGCCGCCCTGGTGGCATTGCTGTGGAACAGCACTGGTCGACTTCCGTGGAAAGGGCTGTGCTCAGGCTGTGGGTGAAGGCTCCTCACCCAGGCAAGGACATCCTTCCTGGGGGGCCTGGAGAACACCTGTCATGGTAGACAGCCGTCCTTTTCAGACGCTGGACTGCACAGCCAGTAGATAGGAAACCTGACCCCACTGGGGCGGGACGGCCAGCTTTTGGTTTTATTGCACGTAGTCATGGTTTTTGTTTTAAGTGCTCAGTAGTTGTTTTTGTTGTTGTTGGCATCCGGTCAGTTCTGGCTCAGAGCAAACAGAGCGAACCCCCTCCTGGTCCTGCACACTCTACTCACTGCTGCTCTTATGTGTGAGCCCGTTGTTGCAGCCACTGTGGGTGCATATGGTCGAGGGTCTTCCTCTTTTCCACTGCCCTCTACTTTCCCAAGGACGAGGTCCTTCTCCAGAGACTGGTCTCTCCTGATGACATGTCCAAAGGAAGACGAAGTCTCGCCGTCCTCCCATGGCGGATCAGTTTGTTCTCGGCAGGCCATGGCCCTTCGGGTCTTCTTCTCCAGCACCACCTCTCAAAGGCACCAGTCCTTCTTCCATCTTCCTTATTCAGGGCCCAGCTTTCACGTCCACAGGAGGCACGGAAAAGACCACTTTTGGCTGCTTAACTTGAATTTCATAAAAGACAGGGCAGGCATTGTTAGCAACAAGATGTGTGGGAGTCTGCCCCGTCAGAGGGAGGGACAGTCTTTCCACAGAAATAGTGGCAACTGCCTACTCACATGCTGTGCTTCCTGGAAGTATGGTCAAAAGGAGTGCAAGGACAGACTAGTCATGAGGGAAGCCAGTGTCTGTCCTCGGTGCCACACCGATCCCCGTTGAGGGGCTGTGTGCTCCGAGAGTAGGGGCTGGGGGGGAGGGGCTGACTGGCAGGTGGCGCACAAGGCTGCCTGAGGGGCTGCTCTGTGGCAGGTGAAAAGGGCAGTGTAGCTGGAGGGCCAGGCCAGGCAAGGGGTAAAGGGTGGGGATACAGGGTTTAGGGGGACAGCTTGAGCCAACTGCTCAGGATTGATAGGTACTTGAAGGATTCGGGGTTTCATCCTAAAAACAGTGGAAGATTATTCGTGGATTCCTTCTGTGGCCTCGGTGTGGAGGGCAGCTTATGGAAGTAGCGTGAGGACCAGCGTCTTCCCCCTCAGGGCCTGCGCCCTGGGTGGACCCTATCACAAACCAGGTGTCCCCCACACGCCTCCATGATCTGCTTCCTTCCGGTCTGTGTTTCTCATGGAGCCAGCGAGACTGTCCCTGGCCTCCCTGTTAAACGTGGCAGGGGCTCTTCCCCAGTGCGCCCTCCTCTGTTCTCCAGGGGAATGCAGAACACTGCGTCCAGACGGTGCTAGATGGAATCGCGCCTCCATCGCAGTCACCACGCTCTTCTCCCCACAGCCGCCCTGGCGCTCTTGCTCTGCAGCTGGGGTGCACACCAGCCCCTGAAGGGTCTGTTCTCTCCTAAGAAGGTTCTCTCTGTGCTGACAAAGCCCAGCCCCCGACCTTGTCTGTCTGTCCCCACGACCCACTGAGAAGTGGAGGAGGGCACCCAGCTCCCTAACTGCATGAGCCATTTCTTGGCAAGATGACTGTCAGGGGCCTGCCGATTGGAGCAGAACTGAAACCTGCATGGAGGTCAGTTCACAGTCACACGGCTCCACAGGGCAGCTGAGTTCCCGGGTTAAGCAAGTTACCC